GTAACAAATACACAGATATCACTGATATTGAAAAGCATTTTCATCTTACTTACACCTCCAGAAAAGTCAGTTAATGTAGGCGGTAGTCTGGATCAAATGAGTTAGACAAGCAACTGTGGAAAACACAGCAATGAATACAAAAGACATAACAACAGCATAAGCAGCAGGTTGACTGGGAATTTAGTACACAGGAAAATATACTGAAAATACAGATCTTGGGAGGTGATCAGGCTGCAAATCCTGAACAACACAAAGACTAGAAGATGCATCAGACACAACACAATGATCAGCATCAGCAAGCCCATCTAAACCTCAGCTCCAAGATGGAAACATCTCCAATGTAAGATCACTGGATCCAACAATGAAAGAGAAAATTTATAAATTAATCAAAACCACCTTTTCTACTGGATTCTGGAGTAAACTTATGGGGAATACATCAGTACTGACAGAGCACCAAGAAGGTCATTATTTGAACTGCAATTACAGAAATCAAGTATATTAAAATAGCTGGGGGTCTACATTAGAAATTATTCACAGTTGTACCAGGCTCTACACAGACATCCTGGTTAGGTTAATCATCTCCTTGCAGACAAACCCAAACTCCATGTAAGAGAAAACTTGAAGCTATCACAGGAGCTTGTTTCCCTCCCCTCGCCCCCTTCTATCCGAAAAGGAAGCAGAAACCAAGATTACAATTAGAAGACAAAACCTCATAGAGGCTTCTAGACAAAATCCTTCCAGACCATTTTTATGTAATTACAGAATTAACAGATCAAAGTTACAGATTTCAGTAAAGCCTCTGATGCATTATCTTAAAACTGAAGAGGTTATATGTCCCAGATATATGTACAATTATCCATAGGAAAGCAGTCAGCTGAATGATATTGTGAAGCCAGAGGTTCCAATTTGGACCTATTTTTCAATATATCTGTTAATCATCTGGAAGATGCACAGACAATATATTAGATTAGTGCCCTGAGCCTAAAGAAAAGACAGCATGAAATGTGCCTACAAAGGATCAAAAGGATGCTGATGACTGCCAACATTCCTATTTAAAATAGAAAATTCCACAGAATAAAATTGCATAACAATGGGTTAGAGTATATATACCATAGTTTATGACGCATATTAGGTCTTCAAGCAGAAATACAACACTCCAGTTTACCTATCCTTATATACACACTTGCAGCACTATGCCATTCAAAACAGAAGAGATTCAAAAACTTGCAACTATAAAGGTAATAAAGGCATTTGAAGAAATAACATAAGATAATACAATAGCCTTGAAAAGAGAGGTTAGGAAATGACATGAATTCTATCTCCAATAAATGAAGGACATCTAGAGCAAGTAGAAATCCAGTGATTTACCTGAAAGCAACAATATAACTGTTTACAGAGAGAACAATTAGCCTTGACAAAGGCAAAAGATGGCAAGTTAGACTAAAGGAATAAACTGCTGAATGCAGCTTAAGAAGCTTTAAGAGTAGAATGATCATACACACAGCCATATTAACCTGTAGTCACTGCAAAGAAAATTGAGCATGTCCAGTATGATTTAATAAGTGTGATAACATATCTGCTGGTAATTGAGCCTGAATATTCCTTGATTTTTATGCCCTTTAAATTTCTCCATGATTTTATTACTCAGTTTTCAAAATTCAAGAAGGAATTCAAGATACACACCCAATCCCTTCTCTTCCTTTCCCTTAGCCCAAACAAGGCCAAGAATCTTTGAAAATTAGGGAGTATATGAAGTTACAATCTTTGGTGATTCAGACTAGATATAAGGAAGAATTTTTTTTTATGATGAGGGTGGTGAAACACTGGCATAGGTTGCCCAGAGAGGTGGTAGATGCCCCATCCCTGGAAACATTCAAGGTTGGACTGGACTCTGAGCAACCTGATCTGGTTGAGGATGTCCCTGTTCATTGCAGGGGGATTGGACCAGATGACCTCTAAAGGTCCCTTCCAATGCAAACTATTCTATGAATCTATGATTCTAAAAAACCAAAACAAAACCAAACCCACCACATTCATTGGGCATATGACATGAACACTATATGAAATTTAAAGACAGATTTGGCTATGGTTTCATCTGGAATAGACCAGGGGAAGCTCTGCAGCCAGCCTGACATTGTTTGCCCAAATGGACAAAATAGGACATTCTCCTCCTGAGTCACCAAATTTCCAAGGGATTACATTGGATTCAGCAGATACCACAGTCATGGAATAACAGCTTCTGTTGTGCTTCTGTACTGTTTTGTAGGCTCCCTAGCACCTTCTGATCAACACTGAGCAAAAATAGTGTCTGCCTGCCCTGGAATCTCTCCATACTGGAGAATTCAACAGCATAAAGGGAGTATGTATTAACTTCCACCTTGATTTTGCAAGTGGTTGTGGATGGAAGGACCAATCAGCACTTATCCACTCATTAGCTTTACTTGTTCAGAAAAGTTGTAAGAAGCTGTTACAAAAATTGGTGTTGGAATCTGCAGAAATCTAGTACAGATTTGCTGGTCTACAATGTATAAATAAAGATGCTGCGCTACAAGCAGTAGTTCAATAACTATTCATCTGCCTTGTTTACGTCTATGCTGAATGCAGTAACAGAGCTGTATAAAAGTTTTCTTCCTCATGCTTTGTATTATATTACTCATGGCACGAATCTTTTCTCACATAGTATCTGAAGTCACAAACATAAATTCATGGTATTCCATGTACTGATACAAGAGGAATCTAGTAGTATCACAAAAGAATACTCATACTTCATAAAATTAGTCCTTCAATGTTGGATCCTAATTAGAGATAGAAATGGGACCAAATGAACACTCTAAAATACTTGGGTTTTCATAGAAACCTGCGTCTGAACCAAATTCAGCAGTTCAGACCCATTTTTGTTTCTTGTACATGAAAATAATTATGCAATATTTAGTCCCATTTCATAGATAAAATATTCAGGTCTATTAAATATAAATCTGTTTTCTAGCTACTGGTCAAACAGCAAGAACAGATGTCAGCTCCTTTCTTCCTCCCCAGAGGTGTCTGCGCACAGCAGGACAATGTTCTCTGATCACTACTCTTTTCTGATCCTCTCTTATTTGATTCTCTATCTATTGCTTAAGGAATTGCAAACCTGATTATCAGATCAGAGTGTATCTGGATACCAGAGCAGAACTGCTACAGACTACGAACTGTGCTGGCCTGGTATATTAAGCAAAAGGCTCAGTATAAAAAAATATATAAATAATTTGAAGTTGTTCCCAGTATACTTTGTTTTAATCCAGTAGAGGCTGGTGAATTTCTGCAACAGTTATGGGAATGAATTTACTCTGCTTACTGGATTGGATTAGTACACTAGTTAGTGCTTTCAAATTCTTGTTCGTGATTAGCAATTTGCCACTAGAGTTTGTCTAATCTGTTACACTGCTGAAAGATCTGTTGTATGAATCAATATATAGAAAATATCACAAGTGAAACAGTATACAAAAATATACCTGGGCTAGTGGTGATACTGTGACACCTATGGACCTTAAATTTTAATTGATATTAGAGGAAAGACTTCAGGTAAACACAGATCTAGTCTCATAAAACTACCTACAGGGTTTCTTAGTTAATAGCTTTGATGGTTTAAAGGGAAACTGAGTTTTAAAAAATTGACTCGACAAATTAAATAAACACTTGCAACTTTTTTTACACTGCTGAAAAAACACCAATAGAAAGAAAAAGATTTCACGGAGTCTTCATGAACTTTGCAATGGTGAAATATGATCTAAGGTACCATAACATCAAAATTAATCTCATCATTATGCATTTGCCTTCATTCATGTTTCTCTCATATTAAAAATAAAAAAAATAAATTAATGAATGGGTGAGATCTGAGCCATGACAATATAATTCTCTATCTTAAAAATATTATAAACTATAACCTATAAAACTATCTGGTTTGTGCTATCAACACATGATGGATTTTTGTTGTTCCAGGAAAAATGGAACATAACGTTCTTCTGTCCACAGGCACACTATAGTAGCGTAGAAATTCTGAACAAACATAAGAAATTCCACCACTAGAGCTGTATGAAACTTATGTTTCCACTTCATAAATAATCACTTGGGCTTTTTTCTGATTTAGAATTTTTTTTTAATTCTGATTTTTTCCCCTTGGAGTATCATTCTGAATTACAAATTCAAAAAGCTTACCATGCAAAAAAAAGAAAAAAGAAAAAAGAAAAAAAGATAATTATCTTTCCAATTTTACATGTGTATGAAAGTTTATACATTTCACACTGACTACTTTTTAGCATTCAGCCCAGATTTGCCACTGTGTGAAACTCATCCAAAATGGTCAAAGTGAAAAATGACAAGTGCTTTATGATAAGTGCTCCATTTTCATTAAGCGTAATGGATACTTTTACGAAAAGTGTATATCTTGGCAAATGTATTTTCTGCCTCAATTCTCCATCCCCAGGGGACCATTTTTAGATTCAAAATTAAGTACACAGCAAATTGATGCTTTATTTCTGAGCAGTTTCTCATTTAGTCAACAGCATCCTGGGCCATTATATGTTGAAAATATGCAAAGTTTTCAAGCTTTAAACACTTCTGTAGCAAACATTTCTTATCCAGGTCATCTGAAAGATTTATGAAAGTAGATTTAATTTAGGCTTTATTTCCAACGTTCCATACAGCTCTTTCTAGAATATCAGCTATAGCCATCATTTTGGATTTGTTCCTTTGGAAACAGATTAGCCATATTTAACTCTACAACCTGACTGAGAAAACATCTCACAGTAAAGCTTAACTGAGTGCATGCTTTAGAAAAAAGTCATTCAGTTTTCCAGGCTAGAGGGCAGCATTCATTGCTGAGGTGGCTAAGTACACTGCTCTGCAGAGTTAAAATCATAATAATCCCACTCCACTCATCTTCTACAAGAAATTACATTTTAAAGCTCTGTCTGGCAGAAGTGGGGCAATGCTAAAAATATATCCTCATTTCAATTTACCTTATTGACATCCATTCGTAACTTCTCGTTATTGGCACTGGCAGCTTTTTCTGCTGCTTTCTTTTGACGCTGAGGTCCCCTGCCAAAGAAGATGTAGTTGACCAATGCATACTCCAGCAGAGCCATGAAAACGAAGACAAAACATCCCATAAGGTACATGTCAATGGCTTTCACATATGGAATTTTGGGAAGAGTCTCTCGAAGATGGGTGTTAATTGTTGTCATTGTGAGCACAGTAGTGATTCCTGGAAAAAAATAATTGACAAGTCTGTTGATTGAATTAACTTTAATTTTCTAGCATAATAGCTCATAATATTCAAATGCTAGAGCTGAAAAATTCTAGGAGACATTTTCTCCTGACAGAAAAAAAACCCACCCCCACCCTCTGTCTATATTCCTTATCTTTGTCTTTAATTTTTTGTACCTCAAAGAAGATTACACCTGTAATTAATTGCGTTCAGTCAAACAAACAGTAGTTGGATTCTGAGTATATCTTTAACCAGTTAAACTGTAAACTTCTCTAATGGGTCTCAGTTATAAATTACCAGCCTAGAGTCACTGTTATCTTGCTTTCCCTCAGCATTTTCAGGATGTCTGCAGTCTTGAATTCTTATGGGAAATGGGAAAATGCTACACAGAAAGGCCTGGTAAAACAGACAGTATGCTATACAGTTAAACTGTCAAATTCTCAGTTGTATCTTTTATGGTGATTTATTTATTCTATCTATATGAGAACTGTACTGGCGGAAGCCAGTCTGATTTATACAAAATTTGGCAATAGATACTCATATTTATAACATGCTTGGATCCTCTGATGAGGGGCACAGTATAAACAAACATACATGGGATTAATGATGAGATATAAAAGTAGTCTAGAAATTGATTAGGGAAATGGTTTGGCTTTTACAGTGTAAGGTAACAGTAAGGAAAACAGCCCTGAACTTAAGGAGAAGTTAGCTATACAACCCTAGTAAAACTTTATTTAATTCATACCTGAAAGGAAAAGCAATTTATAATCCATAACACAGTGCTGCATGTGTATTCTGGACCGCCATGGGCAAAAGCAAACTAAATGCATTCTCTTTGGAGAAAAACAAGCAGTAAAATCACAGAAAATGTTGAGACAATTAGGCTAATTCTAGTTACAATGATTATACAGTTAGCTAATTCAGACATGAAATCACTTTAATTTTTATTTAAATTGTGATGATTTAAATTGCTGATTCAAATAATACAAAGCTTAACAAGCCAGACATAAAAAGATCTAACAGATTTATTTTTCAAATCATGCACTATCCACTAAGCCAGAAGCAAGAAAAAGCATTCAGCTAATGCACGCTGCATGAGATGAGTAAAAATGCCTACCTAAAGCAACTCTTGCAGCTGAAGCGTCATAATTAATCCAGAATGAAACCCAGGACAGGATAGTGATCAGAATAGAAGGCATGTAGGTCTGCAGAATGAAGTAACCAATGTTTCTCTTAAGTTTAAAGCTGAGAGACAGCCTTGGGTAGGCACCTAAAAGAGAATATTTGGTACGGCCATAATTTACTTGTATAAAGCCTGAAAACATTTTTCTGTCATTCTGGTTTTATTGTTTCATGCAACACAGAGTACACACAGAGTTGAAAGATCCAGGATGAGCAGCTGCAGATTTTCTAGCAAGAACTGGGATTAAATAGTCTTTTATTCTAAAGGTACAAGGCTGCTCTAGGTGCACATCTGCTGGCAATCCTACTATTCAACAATCAACTGCCAAAATACATTTCAGAGTAAGAAAGCATAGAAATGCTTCTTCCCTGACAAGCTGTGGTACACCTACTTCAGTGTAACCCTTATTCTAACCTTCTTTCCAAGCAATGCAACACTTGCCCTTTGTCACTGGACACCAGAGATATTTTGGTGTATGAAACACTTGTTGAAATAGGTGCCTAGAGAACACTGTTCAAGTCCCATTTCTGCTTGGTTTTGAAGAATTTGGAATGCACAATCCTTCTATGCTCCCTCCAAAGATGATTTCTATCCATATCTAGAATGTGAGTTTTTAAGATTTTTTTTTTTTAAACACACCTAGCAGCTTTGTCAAGTAGGCAGAGAACAACACATAGTAAGAGCGTGACCCAACTCACATCTCTCTCACATGATTTAATAGTCATTGAAATGTTCTAGTTGTTTCTTGAGGTTTTTTATTTTATGAAAACCAATCTTATTTTCTACTCACAAAGTATCTTTCCAGACTTCAGAAAGTCATATGTTTGCTAGCATACACTAAACTACAAACATAGCATAGGCTAAACCATAAATCCCGTGGAACAAGGATTTTAAAGGTTTTACACCAAAATAATTGGTCTAATACATCCACAGCTTGGCACAAGGAACATCTAGAAATAGTGAGAGAAAGGTTTTTAAATTTTCTACAGGCTGGGTTACTTCTTGTTGGGCTTAGGGTGCTGAGGTATATAAGTGGCTTAAGAAGTTTTCATACGAAAACAGAAAATACAGCTTATTTTACTGATCCTTAACATGGCAGACTACTGTATGTTAATGAGTGATGCCTTATACATTGTGAAGGCTGTAATAAAAATGACTTCCTTCAAAATTCACAGTTGCTGCTCTAATTTATTCCCATTTCTAAAGTTTTTGCTCAGATCCTGAATTACACATTGAGAATTAAATCGTTTCTGAAAGTCTTCGCAGTTTCTAAAAGTCTTCCCAGTGAATTCCCCTTTTAGCTTCCCCTCCACAAACCTGTAGAGAAAACAACATTCTTGGTGATAAGCTTGTAGTCTACAATGGAGAACTGAGGCAGTTCGATCTTTGTCACTCCTGTGACTGCATTATCACCCCCACGCCAGTAAAATTCAATGTCATCTGTTGTATAGCCATCTATAAAAACAGGAGTAAACAGTTAAGATACACATTTCTTCTGCCATCATGGAGAACAGTCCAGAGAATTAATTCAGAAAATAACTTCAAATATATTTCTAGAACTAAATGGTTAATAACATAATAGATGTAAACATACATACAGACACAAGTAATACTAAATATAATTTCAAATGGCAATCCTAGGTGTATTTTAATCTTTGGGTTTTTAAAGATATATGAATATATATTAATAAAGTAAACCTTTAAAAACAAATTAAGACTACACCCATCCCATATATAGATAGCAACCATTCATTCAGCTTAAGGTAACTTCTGATCCCAAGGCTGGATAAAACAGTGTGGGTTTGCTGTAACTTCAGCCCCTGGGCTGGAACACCAGCATTGGTAACAGAAACACAACCAGGTCACCAAGCGAGGCCTGGAAGAGAGACGTTTCTGTCTTGTGCACCATGATCAGCATAAGTAAGACGACAGTGAGAGTAATACCAGTGAGAGAGAAGTTCAGCATACAGTTATCTTCTGATATTTCCTCTGTATGCTATGCAGTTTATAATCTGACTACAGATGAAAAGGACGAACTCTAGTTCAAACCCATTTTGACTTTACTTATAAAGCCAGCATCATTCTTTTTCTGAAAATGGCTTCAATTCAATAAAAGACAGCCACATTCAGTGAGGGCCTTGTAAGAAGCAACTGTAGCAAATACAACAGCCATCACTCTGGATGGCAAAAACCACCCACCACAAAAAAACAAAGGAAAAAAATTCCACCACCCACCAAAAAACCCCAGAAGACAGCACATGTTCACACAGTCATAACACAAAAGCGTGAAATATGAATCTGGGTTCACCAAATGGTAGCTAAGCTAACTTGCATACTTCAGAGTTGGTACGCAGAGCTGATCGATAGACATCAGAAATAAATCTGCTACAAAACCAGGAAATAAGATATTCCTGAAGGTCTGTAGCTTTTTAAAGGTTTTTGTTGTTGAAAACTGAAAATAAAAAGAGCAACTCAGAATAAAGACTATGACATTTTTGGGAAACTGACATAATAAAATGGTATATATTTGACCTTGGTTTTAAATTCTCACCCACAGACAAAGGACAAAATTATATAATAAACACCATTTTAGAGTGCTCCAATAGCACTTAATTTCAAGGAATGATGCAGATTATGCATTTTGTGATAACCCAGAAACTATAAAACTGTTTCCATGCATAATCAATTTTTGATAATCCAAGTATAATCTAGATGCACAGCAGTAGCAGAAAGCAAGTTTGAAGATATGAACCCAATAACATGCAAAACCACTGGAACAACCACAAAAATCTATCCAACATACAGCAAGTTTTAAAGTATTATGGTAGTTACATTCTTACAGCATATTGATAGCAATTCCATTTTTTTGTATACGTGACTTCTGTTTTGTATACGTGTCATTCTGTTTTTCATAATGCTACCAGCAAATATAAAGTAGTTTGAGGGCAGAAAAGGGAAAACCAGTTACAGGAATCAGAGCCATCTCATTCATACAGCACACATTTTGAACAGGTTGTCAACATCAAGAATCCAAAATGGAACCCACTCTTCTTTCTAAGTTGCTGACGTTGACAGAAAAACAGATGAGAAAATAATTTTTTAAAAATTTTTGTGAAATAAGTTCTTCCTTATTCTTTCCATTTTTCCAAAAGTTCACTAGCTTTAGCTCATGACATCAATCAAAGAAAAAAGGAGGCTTCTATCTTTTAAATAAGCTTCAAAAGTTAAGAGAAGCCGCCTTACAACACGAAACATGATGCACTTTTGACATATCCAGAACTCCTTAAGAAACAGAGTTTAAATTCACATCAACAAATAGCTTACACCAATGGTCACCAATTTGTTTCCCCCCATGCTTTCTCTTGTTTCACCGAGAAGAGAATCAAAGGAGTAACTGAACATAATTTGGACTAATAACTTCCCTTAATATTTAGCTTTCCTCCTCTCTTTGGACAGTGACATAAAATAAAAATGGCTAAATTCCTCTATACTGAATTTTTGTGAAAAAAAGAATTGCATAGATATCACAATCTTTGCATTTATTGTGTATTACTTGTTCAGTCTAAAACATGAGAGGTCTGAAAAGGAGCTAAAATTACTGCTGTCTGTCAGTAGACCTATCCTCTGTAATCAAGCAAGCATTAACCATGACTCCACAATCATACTGATGCTTCTTACACACTTTGTGATACAACAGAGTATGTTCAAATCTGCTTTGAAGTGGTCTCATGAAGATCAACATGTGATTGAACTTTGCTTTTCGCTTACTGCTACTTTGCATAGGAAAACATTTAGCACTTCACATAGAATTGTCTCAGATGAAATTTACAGCACAAAATTGTTGCATGTTGCCCAAGAGATGCTGTATTTAGAGATAAGAATAGTTTTAGCACAATAATTTCTAATGGCTAAGCAAGGCATCCTTAGTTGAGCCAAGACTGTTGTTAGAACAGATTTTGAATTTTCTATAAGATCAGTAAAATTATTTCAAAAATAATCACATTACAGAATTACCCAGCAGATTTGAATTATTTTGTTCTGATGAGGAAATAATACATTTTGCTGCTGAATTATGATTTTCTGAAACTGCCTAATTATATGAGAGCCTCCCTCCCTATCTCTCCTTTCTTCAGTTAACCTTGTTCTATTTCCTCCACCATATAAAGATAGCAAAAGGTACATGGTGGAAGAGCACACTTTAAAAGTTTCTTTCCTTCCAAAATGACCTGAAATACAGAGGTACTTCAGTGTATTGAACATTTTAAGAAACGAGGAACACTTCTATGAGTCCATGTAATTGAGATTACCATAGTTTCTGAACTAACAGACCTGAGCTGTGAAATATAACTTGAAAACCTTTGACAATATACTGTAATCTTTAATTTAGCTTTTTTACGTTCATTACTTCTTGTGGTAAAAGTTTATTCCAAGTTCTGGCTCTATCGCTGTTGATGTAACGCCTTGGTAACTCCCCTTCTTTTCCCTGGGTTGTGGGTGTGATTATCTCATCCTGCCTAGCCCCATCCTCTGGTTCTTCTCCACTGATACCTGTAAAAGCTGTAGTCCAGCAAATGGACTTGGTTTTTGCAAACTGTTACTTACCACCTGAATCTGCTAATAACAAAAACTGTTGTCATGTTCCCAAATACTGCATGGAAAGAAGGCTCTCTGCCCTTTCCATGATGTACACAGGACCGTTACACCTTCTGGGGTACCTTCTCCCAGTGGAGCAGCAGTTGTTTGACAGGAAGGGAAATTACTACTACCATTGGGGACTTGGCCATTGACAAGTTGTTTCTACTCTCTTCAGAACGCTAGATTTTAAGTGCCACTAGATCTGTTGCATTTGCTTTAAAGGGTACTTTTCTAGGAAGATCAGTGGTACATGGGTGGACGTCATTAATGATTGTGTTTGTGGCAAGACAGGCCCACTTCAGTAAGACCTTTAGAGGGAACACATTTGTTTCAGTGTTTGTGTGAAGCACAAATCCTTCATTCAGTGCAGTAAGTTTTTTGGTCGTTTTTCCAGGGGTTACATGGTATAAGGAATACGTGCAGACTCTGCAGGCCTGAAATTCGTCAGGTTATCATGATATCTTTTACTTTTCTGGTCACAAGTTTATGTTCAGAAAAAAGGCAGACAGCTTATTTATGTTTCCTTGTCTATCACCACTTTATAATTGTCAAGTCTCACTCCAGGATTACAGTGACAAAAAGAAAATAAAATCTAAAATAAAATAAATAAATTGGCTGATATTGAGATGTAAAAGCAATAATATGAAAAATATAAAAGAACATCCTTAGAGAGTTTAGAAAGCAGAACATTGCATACCTTGTTGTGAGAGTTCACCCTTACTTTGTGATACTGCTGAGTTTTGCTGATGTTCTATCTCAAATCTACCCTCGCCTCCAACAGCAAGTTCTGGATTCTAATACCATTTACTGAACTTGGTGGTAATCAAGGTAATTTATTTAATTTTGAGGTAATTTAACTGTTAAACTTCATAACTCATAAATCAATATTTTATTTTTCTTTCTGATAAAATAAACGTTAAAATAACTTACAGCAAGAAAAAACCCCACTTTTTTATGTAAGAGAAAATATGTTTATAAAAACCAAAATGGCTCTTGATTTTATTTCATTTTTAGAACATCTGTTAGTAGAACTTTTCTGCCCAAATGCCTATACATGGTTTGGCCTTGAACCATCCAGTCATACCAGGGTTCAGGCAGGAAAGAACTCCAGGATTTATGCCCCAACAGGCTGCCAAATGCACCAGCATTCCCCCTCTGCCAGGAAGATGTGGTTAAGCTTCTCCTGTATTCTCACAGACTTAATACTAAGTGAATATGGACACCTACTGCTTTAGGAGAGCTGAACTCCTTTGAAAATCTCACCCAAAAGGTCAAACCAAAGACTGCAAGCACCTCTGGGCTGCTTTGGGGAGACTGCGCAGAACTCCCTGCTGCTTAAATTACTTATGCTGGGGAAAGGCTAAGCTGAGACTTTGACACTGAGTGACAAGACTTGTTAGCAGGTATTCATACAAAGAATTTCAGGAAGTCTCTTCAAGCTTTCATTAAAATATTTCTCTCTCTTTCCAAGAAGGATAAATTATCCCATTCATTTCATAACATGGAGAAGGAGAGAAAAGAATATTATAGTCATCTGCAAATGAATGTTATTGTGTACTGCTAAAGTACCCAAAAATAATTGGATATAAGTCTAATATCTGCAAAACATCTGCCAGAAGAGAGAATGGACCTATTCATGTCTCTAGTGGATGTTTTACAGATATTAAAGTCCCATTACCTGTGGCTATAATAAACTCCATCTGCAGGTATTTGGGGCTCAAAACAACTCTATTTACAAGTTAAAATTATTTGAAGACCAACCTATTTAAAATAGTAATAAGCAGTATAGAAAGAATAATCTATGGCACTTGACAAGAAAA